TCGTTACCCTTTGGCCAACATGGATTGCCCCCAACACCGTACGCATCTCTTCCCTCATTTAAGTCATGGTGGGCTGAAACACCTGCCTGCTTAAGATTACCCTAACTGGCCTCTCTCTGGTGCTCGCCAACTTTGCAACCCTACTTTACTACGATCCCAAGTTCTTGGCGGAAAAAGGCGGAGCTGAGGGGCCCCCAAACTGGATCTATTTCACGTGCGTGCGGTCGTCTATTGGGTAGTCGACGTGCGCTCCTCACGGTGCCAAAAGTTGGGCAGCGGGCCTCTTCTTTTACCAAACACTCGATGCAATTGACGGGTACGTCTACATCCCACCAAGGCGCTTTTTGTCGCTGTAACGAAATGCAGGAAACAAGCGCGAAGGACGGGCATGGCCGGGCCCTTGGGCGAGATGTTCGATCACGGATGCGACGCTCTTAACACCACCGTAGGCATCATTCAACCTCCATTTAGTCTATATGCTTATCCTAGCGTAGCTCGAAGTCATCCTATGCGCTCGTGCGCTCAACCTTGGCCGGTCATGGTGGACTGTCGCTTCCCAAATAGCCACTTTGGCCAACTTCTACTTGACTACCTGGGAAGAGTACCATACAGGTAACACCGAATTGCAACCCATTTCCTTGCCACCCATTTACCCGTTTCAATCGCGCAGGTCAGCTCTACTTGGGCATCTTTTCCGGTCCTGTAGAAGGCATCCTCTCCATCGTTCTGATGTACACCATCACTGGGTTCACTGGTCAGTACACAGAGAGTACCGTGATGCCTTGTCTGAAACGCCTTGTAGGACCCGAGTTCTGGGATCAGGACTTCCTTGCATTCACTAGACTAGACAGGTACCCTATTGTGGTCGAATACATTCCCCGGGGCGGCCTTAACGACGCCTTCATGGTCCTCGGCGGTGTGGTCCTCGCCTTCAATATTGTCACTAGGTACCCTCCTTCCCCTCCACCCACACTTCGTCCTCACCCGCCCGCGCAGTTACCACAACGTGTACAAGGCACGCACCTCCGCCGGACTCGGTCCGTTCGTGCCACTGCTCTTTCTACTCCCGTTCCCGATCTCGGTCGCGCTCGAGGTGCTCTGGCTGCGCGCGCCGTCGTTCGACGAGTCACAGATCCTGCACTCGGCGCTCTTCGTGCCGTTCCTGTGCGCGTGGGGCCTCACGTTCGCGCACCAGGTCTCGCGCATCATCCTCGCGCACGTTACAAAGCAGCCCTTCCCATGGTGGGACGCGATGTGGCTCTGGAGCATCGTCGGCGCCGTCGACGCGAACCTGCCCCGGCTGATCAACCGGTGCGTGTTTGGTCTTGCCTCTTTCATCTGCGCCCCATGCCCTACTACGGGTTCGCGAGCTATGCGCTGAGCTGACGGCGCATCTGGCAGCCCGCCGCTCATCCAGAGCACGCTCCCGCGCACGGCGCTGTTCGTCTACGTCACGCTCGCGTTCGCGTTTGTCTCATACGCGCGCTTCTGCTTCCTGGTTATCAACGACATCACAAACTACCTTGGCATCGCGTGCTTCACCGTGCGCAAGAAGGACCGCTCGGGGGAGTGGGTCGGCGCGGCGGAGGTGTACGGGAACGGGAAGAAGCAGTGAGACTGAGTTGAGGGGTCCCCGGTGCGTTGGGTGTGGGAAGGTAGATGGGATGAGGTAAAAGTGGTGGAGTGCGCGATGAACTGACGACTCGAACTCGAACCATGCCAGATGCATATGCTGCTCGGAGCCACGGTGAACGATGCTCCGCCGTAGCTGATGCATAGACAGAACCAAAAGTACGATGCTATACCCTACGCCATTCATGAATCTACGACATAGAAGTCGAAATAGAATTATATTCTTGTCAAATACTCCCTTGGCTATGTGCTCTTGCGTACCACGTTAGCTTTTGGAGCACTCGGTGAGTGCTGCATCTATCTGACCCAATGTATTGCTGCTGACAGCCTCCCTTTGCATTGGCGCTTCACTAGACATATGGCACAGCTACTAATTTTCTTTCGCGGGCTGCGCGAACTCCTACGGCATCCTGATTGCCTGCACGGAGGCGTTGTCGAGAGTGATGCTGCCCGTGGCCTCCCTGTGCGATCGCTGCACCAGATCGGATACCCAAGAAGTGGTGGGTCTCCCGACGGCACTTACTGTCACCTACAACACAGCACCGGCGCCGCTGGAAACCAGCGCCCTTCTCTAGGTACTCAGCATTCCTACCTCCGTTACACCGTCCTGCAGCACTAATAACCAAATGACAATAGACGCCGCCTCCGTCTCGAGCATCTAGCCTGTTCGTGCTGGATATACGCTACATATACCTATTGTGCTCCGTAGGGCTTGCGGTATACCCCAAGGTCCTATCCACAGACATTTCGAGCGGCTCCTGCTCTGACACTTCCGAGACATCAGGGGGCTTACACCTCTTCATTAATCTATGCTGCAGTGACATATACCGTCCACAGCTTCTTCAGCGTTAACGTTGGCGGGGGCTCTGCCACAACAGTTTTCCCTCTAGGTCTAATACTGGTTCTTTTCAGTAGGTCCAAGACCACGGTTATTGCTCTGCAGAGGTAGTTACTTGGCACGTCCGAGTAGGCATCTCAGGCATCCCAACGCGCTCGCTAGACTTCGCGCCCCCGGCGTGCGCATACGACGGCTGAACTTTGTATGACAGCGCCGCATTAACGTCCGACACGGAACGCCCATCAGAGCGCGAAAGTCCTGGGAGAGTTGGTCAAGCGCATCGGGCTCACGACGGGCGTGCAAGTGCCGAATTTTGTCCGGGTCACGGGGGTGCGTACTGGTCCTGCCAGTGCGAATGTACCAGGCTGGCAGCGGCGTGTTTTTTGCCGCACGGTCGGGTCTCGCGGGTATAAGGTGAGAGGCAAGTTTCGTGCAAGACCTATGGTTAGCCAGAACTGACTGAGGCCTGGTTCTGACGTGCATCGCGAGGGAATCAGGCCGAATGATTGATGGAAGCGCAGTGTATTCCGGGCCCGACAGGGCTACAAATGCATCATTCAAAAGGCCTCTCGTGGGGGCATTGGTGCCGCCCCTCTCCCGGCCATTGTCGTCTTCGGTAAGTAACACGTTGGATGCCTTGACTTTGTTCTGTGTCCTGGTAACACTTACCCATGGGGGGGCTTAGAATTAATCGTCGGCCGGCCCACGCGATGGTCACACCTTTCGACATTCTCTGGACGTGCATTGCTGTGGCAGTTCTCGCGCTCACACAGCCGAAGGGCGTCAGCGCGAAGAACGTCACGATAGACGACTCCGCGCCCGAAGGCGTGCTCTACCTGCCCTCAGAAAGTTACTGGTCTGTCGGACTCAGCTGCAGCTTCTGCGCCCTCCATCCAGATGCGACGCAGGCGTACAACAAGACCTGGCATGTTGTGGTCTACGACCCCGGGGAGCTAGCAGTGCCGCAGGTCGACATCAGCTTCACCGGCAACTCCGTGTATGTGTACGCCATCCTCGCGGACACCATCCCTGGCGGACTCAACACAACCGATCCCACACGCGTTGACTTCCTCATCGATGGCGCGCAGGTGGGGTCGTTCATTCACAACCCTGGACCTCAGCCGCGATTCTTGTACAACCAGCTCATCTATGCAAACCAGAGCTTGAAAAATGGGGACCATCTGATCGCCATTAAGCCCAAAACCGACGCGTCGTCTATCATTTTCTTCGACTATGTCATTTATGGCGCAGCCGAACCGGAAATTCCGGGACCTTCAAGCGACGCGGGTGGCTCCAAGGCAACATCTATCGTGGGGACTGCGGCATTGCCTGCGAATACTTCTCCGCAACTTTCTGGAGCATCCACCCCTGCCCCATTGCCCTCAGATGGGTCGACCTCCACAGGAACTACAACCTCTCCAAACGCGACCTCAGCATCCAATGGTGTACTTGGCCCCTCCTCCACCCCGAAAACGCCTATTATCGCTGGTGCAGTAGTGGGTGTAGTAGCATTCTTGTGTGCGCTAGGACTTGCAGCGTGCTGGATTGTTCGGAGACGCCGTCGTAGACCATCGGCGGTAACCCCTTTCGAAGTATCAGACTTAGGACCAGATATGCGCGAGGATGTTCCCCACGTACCGTCGCTCCCGGACCCCTTCGCCGATAGCCCTGCCTCCAGCATACTTGCACCAGCACCAGCACAGAATATGTCTATTTTGTCGGCTGTGGACGAGATCCAGGAAGAAGCGCGTACACCTTCAACGTCTCGCTCCCGGAGCTCGCGTTGGGCGGACGGAGAGCGCGGTGTCACGCGTTCACGGTCTCCCCGTTCGACTGCAGCAGCAACATACACCCCCACAGATCCTACCCCAGCACTCAATCGGGCCCCTTCTCCAGCACATCGATTGAGTCCGGAAGACGGAAATCCTGCCTCTAACTCGACAAACGGCGTGGCTAGTTCCCCGGCGTCCCCGGCTCCTGAGCACCCTCCAACACCCCCTCCTGTATCATCGCCAAGATCACCCCTACACTCACCTCTAACTCCCCCTACGCCTTTACCCGCCTCCTCCACGGTGCCTGCTCCAACGCCTGCCAACGCAAAATCGAGCATACGAGCGGAGCTCGCTGCGCTCCGAAACGAGGTTGCGCGGCTGCGGGAGGCCCAGAGCGTACCGGTTCCAATACCGGTGTTGGGACCTGAAATGGATCCGGACGAGCCTCCACCTCGGTATGTTGATGCGCAATGAATTCGTCCGATCTTGGAACTTTGGGTGAGGCTCGTACCGTGATGGAGAGATGGCCCTTTCCTCGATGTTTGGGGTGACGTGAAACTATTAATAATATCGAGTGGGTGGTTCGGGGCCCGAGGACCTCCCCGTTGGGTTCCCCGCATAGATTATACCCGTAGACTCTAATTATTTGTATACCCGAGTCCCAACAATTGATCAGTGCAGGATGGCAAGAGAAAGCGAAGTCCAATAGACTTAGAAAATCTGCAATCATAATCTTTTCAAAGCAACGAGCCCATAACGGGCGTTTGGCACAGTGGTAGCGCGCACGCTTTGCATCACGAATTGCGTGAGGTCCAGGGTTCAAGCCCCTGAACGTCCATTTTGCATCCGTAGGCATTGCGGCATCAAATTCGGAACCAGGCTCGTACTAGGCTTTCATATGATTGTCATTGAACAAGCTGATTGTACGGGAGCCATTGTAGGTACGTCGAGGGTTTGCTCGCGCATGACTCTTCGTTACTCTAACCAGTACACACCCAATCCCGGAAGATGTCCGCGGATATCGCAGTTAGGTAAGATTTCCGGAGGATATCCGCGGGAGACGTCCTACGGATGTCTGTGTGAGGATATCGTACGGACACCGTTCGGACGACCGGCACGGGGGACACGTGGCTTGTTTGCCTCCAATTGTTTTGTGTAAATCAAAATATCGTATTGTAACTCGCGAGTACTGCTGCTAATTAAAACTTCGCACGCTAATGTGCACATATCCCTGCAAGTGCCGGACGCTCTGCTACTTACCGAGTTCCGACCTGAAGCTGATCGTCAAGTCTCCTCGGTTTGGTAGTACCAATGGCCCAAGCTCTTCCTTGGAATTGGCTTGATGGTACTTCACCCTGAGGTAGTTCGTGTCTGATATCTCGACTGACCTTGTGCCTCGACCAGAGTTTTCGCGGACCATTGTCCAGGGAGACGGCAGAGTAGGAAGCCGCATAGAGTACAAGTGCAAAAAGTGCTCGGACGTGCCGGCCTACTACAAGAAGAATCTGGCCCGTCGACACACCATCGTTCTGCGCCATCGAAAGCAGTTTCCCTACGAGGACACACGCCCGGATTCCCCCGAGCATGAGGTCTCTTCAAGTTCTTCGGGGAGGGCAAGTCCGGCTCGGTCGGAGGAGCAAGGTCTCGACGTAGACAGTTTCCAAGAGTCTGGCGCTGATGCCTCTTCGGAAGCTGGTATGGTGAGTGTTGTCGCCCGCCGTGAGCGGGTTGGTCGGCTGTCATGCGGATAACTGACGTGAGAGTTTCTTTTCAGAGTTCGGCGGCACCTCCGAGCCCCCATCCCGCCGAGAGCCGTCCCGAGTGTTTCTTCCCCCAAGGGTGCACGATCGACATGACCGGATATGACTCTGATCACTCCGAGTCAGATTCCGGATCGCCAACTGAGGAGTCGTATGATTGGGCCCGGGGTTTGTTCGATCACGGTTACGAGAGTGTTATTGGGTCGGATTTGCCTCAAAGCGAGCCGGACACAGACGGTAATGCAGCTTTGTATAATCCTTAGGATGATCACTGACTACTTGCTCATTGTATGTGTAGCTCTTACAGACGACGGTGCATGGGAAGACACCGAGACAGATGTCTCCGACTCGGATTCAGATACCTCGCCGGAACCAGGTCTCGATTCCGACAACTCCGCTTCAGAGGGCTCCCAAGATCAACGAGCAAGCCCTCGCGCGTGGCGCGCGCGGGCGCACCGCACAAAGAACCGCATAAACAAATACTTTCCGTACCCTAATAGGACCGTAAGTTGGTTTTCTTCGCATGGGTAGCCGTACCGCGACGTTAACGCGCCCACCGGGCCCCAGTGGTTCATTCTAGATATTGTGCTTAACCTCCCAAGGCATCCCATATCAGATGAACTCCTCAAGATTTTTCTCTGGGCTCTCAAGATCCTCGGCGTCCAGAATGTGCCTTCGCTCAAAGCGTTCCGCAAGTTCCAGGTAAAACTTCGCGGCGAGCGCTTATTCAAGAAAGAGCGCGCCGTCGTGTCCGTTCTCGGAAATCATTTCACTGAGAATAGCATCCTCAAGTCCATAATGCTTGTACGTGCTGTTTCGTGCTTCTGTATACAGTATGTTTCTACACATCGCTAACCCACCGGAACAGGACATGGGGAACCCGGAGGTGCGACGGCATCTCGTATTCTACCCGGAGGAACCCGTCAATGGTAGCTCAGAGCTTCGACACTCTTGGAAATGGTTCCTCGGGCTACCGGACGACAAACTCACACCTATGTGGGCTCATCGCGACGTGCATTTCTATGTCGGAGAAGCCGCTCAACTACTGGATGGGAGCGTTGTGATACCCCTGCGGTGGTTCATGCGGGATGGGGAAATGCACATGTTTTACTACGCTACACGCATTTCTGAGGTGATATAGTATAGCCCTCTCACACCCTGGTAAATGCCCCTGACATTATATACACTTAGGGAGGCCGTTACGTGGTCGATACCACAGAACGGCGTCGTGGCCCTGCATCAGCTCTTCTGAAGAACCTTCCCAGCTTGCTGCAGGACACACAGCTTCTCAATCGCCTGGACGGTGAGTTTCATTACACGGCACCAGGCATACTTCTGGAATCTCATCTTGGCGGTGTTTTCAGTCGCATGTGCAGTCAGCCGTCAAGCCCTCGAGCTGAACAAGTGGCGTGTTAGAGCAGCGGGCAGACCCTGTTACGCGTATTTCATCCTTCTCGGGGGTGATGATGTGTCAGGTAATCGAAGCAAGACGTGGAATAAACACTGGTGCTTCTATTTCTGTGCGGCTGGGCTGCCACTCGCTTGCCTCAACCAGGAATACTTTATCCACTTCGTGTCAACATCGCAGCACGCTGGCCCAGTGGAGCAGGTAGCAGCTATAACAGAAGAGCTTCGGTGCGTCGCTTCGGTGCCTCATGGGGTATGAGTTCGAGGAAGTCTGATCGCGACCGGATTAGCTCGGTAGAAGAAACGGGACTTGTCTGCCCTGACATTGCCGCTGAGAGCGGCCATGTCACTGCTCAATGTCTGATGCTTCCGAACCTGTTCGTCGGCACAGGAGACGGTCCATGGCAATCGGAGCTGAGCAGTCACTCCGGCGACGGCAAACCGTGTCGCTTCTGCGAGGTTGGGGGATCTGTGAAGGAGCGTTCAAGCGATGACGGCTTTCTGGCGATCATGTCTGTACGTGTGCATTTCAAGATGATTCATATATATATATATATATTCGACTTCTTACAATTGCTGTACTTGCAAATCCCAGACGGGTGTGCAGCGTACACCTCAAAGTACTATTGCTCATATACAGAATGATCTTGCTCTAGCGACGAAGCCTCGTAAGGGTGCAGAAATTGAGCGGAACCAACAGAAATCGGGCGTGGTCGACAGCCTCGCGCAAACAGTAATTGAGGAACTAGTCCAGAAGGGGAAGTCGCTTTTCGAAGAAAAGAATGCGGAGGGGAAGCGTGCAAACCCCAATTCGGCGATCGAAGAGACCCTCACAGTGCTGCAAAAGAAACGGCTTGAAGATGGCAGTTTTCTCAATTCTCTGCTATGCGACAAAGGTGAGAACTGGGCTTGTGCCCTCCGAGAGGACTACAAGAGCGACTAATTGATATATACGGTGTAGCTTTTGACCCACATCTCGATACGGCCATCGGGAGACTGCACTTGGTACTGCTTGGATTTACAAAATACTTTTGGAGCGCTTCCTTGCCGGTTGGGGGCGGTAAAAAACTCTCTGTCAAGGAGAGGGAGGTCATCGAAAAAACAGAGGCCACACTCCGGGCCTTGAGTCAAGATGGCATTGGCAAGCACTCGTTGCGTCCAGACTACCTCATGCAGTTCAGAGGAAGCTTGGTTGGGCGGCACCTTCACAGCATTGCCCAGCTTGCAGTCTTCCTTTTCGCTCGTACCGTTGAGCCGGTTTTGCACGTTGTATGGGTCCATCTCAGCCGTCTATGCGCCCTCTTGTACGTGATGATAATAAAGGACATGCAAAAATACAAGGTGCGTATTACTCGAGCTCGCCGTGTGAGAGACTTACTAACTAGAAGTGTCTATGGCGATACATGTACTAGGTCACGCTCGGCATTGCGATTGACCATTTCTTTGATGCAGTATGTGAATATAACCCCACCTGGGTTATGTTCAAAAACAAGTTCCATTATCTTGCCCATACCCCCCAAATGATCGAGCGTTTCGGTGTTCTGGGACTCGTTGCTGAAGATCGCTTCGAAAAATTCCACGGACTTTGGCGACATAGCTCCATTTTCAGTAATCATCATGCAGCAAGCCGGGATTCTGCCATTCATTTCAACAGTCTTGATGCTACCAAACATATCCTCTCAGGCGGTATTTTTACTTGGGAAGGCGAACCCAGTGTGGCCGGTCCTGCGGTTCTCTCCATCCTCTCGGAAAACCCTCACCTCCGTGAACGACTTGGCCTTCGGACCACTCGCACACGTCCAAGCGGTTTGTCTTTCAGTTCCGATCAGTGCACAACACGGAGGTTGATGCTTGCACACTTGTACAGGCTATGCACGACCTGATCAAGCGGAATCCCCGCAAAGTTGGGGGACTATTGATGGACACAGCAGCCCCGGTTTGGAAAACGAGTGGCCATTGCAGTTGCGTCACGATAGGAACAATTTTTTCCAGCGGAGTAAATGGGTCATCACCGACAGGGGTGATACATGTTGTCCAGGAGCATTTGTGTGGTGCACCTCACCCCAACAGGGTGTCGTCCGGGTCGTTGGTGTCTACTCACGGGCGCGGTTGTCGGGATCAGGCACACGAGCTCCTGATGTGCTCGTTGTAGTCGAGCTGTTTGACATGATGGAGCGCCATGACATTTTCGACTGCCCTTGTCTATTCAAGCGTGGCTGTCATCTAGTTCTACCCGAGGTATGTACGCTCGAACTCAACCTCTCGATTGGACAAACTTAAACCCTTTTGGTTATAGCATCTCAAATTCCTAGTGAATGTCCAGCACGACTGCATACGGGGCAATTGCATCCCCACCGGGGTCGTCCCGGAGACTCAAGAACGTACAGTTACCGGACGACAGAAGTCCACGGTGGATCATACCGAAGATGCCCACTTCGTCCTCAATCTGTTTGTCCTACACCACTTCGATGAGCTCCTGGAACTTGTGCCCTCGTCGTTCTTCATGCCCAAGGAGATTCGAACTGAAGACGACCGAATCGCGCTCTGCCTGGCCGCTGCACAAGTCTTGCGGGGACAAATACAAACATGTGAAAGTGCACGGGGAGCAGTCCGCCAGGCAAGATCTCAAGTGGCCGCGCGCGCGAAAGTCGGTACGATGCCTGCGCAGGCC